TTTACAAATGCCTGATCTACACATGTTTAAGATAACCTACTCTTGTAATGCTTTTCAATGCAAATATGCAATCATCAAAAATGGTTTACACAGTCTGTATATGTAATTTAAAACTGTTTTCATTGAAATTACAATTTTAATCAGAAACTAACTAAAGATTTAAATACACACATGGTTTTGTAATTAAAACAAATTTTTTAAACAATGAAATTGAATTTTATTGATTTCTAATTCATTAAAAAATAATTCGTATAAAAGATAATTAAAATTAAAACAATAACATTAAACAAAATTAAAATTAACATTCTATATATTTAATATAACAAATTGTGCCCACATATAGTGCGTTAGTTCAGAAATTATTAATTAACCATAAAATAAAAGTTAGATATAATCAAACATTAAGCAAATTGATGAGAGATTATGCCAACCATAGAATGAATCAATTTATTCAAACATTTCCATTAACTCCATGGCTGTCGAGATCTCAGACTTGAATTTATGTCTTTGTGCGAGAATCGAGGCGTCATCGGTGGCGGCCACGTCTTTGATCATCTGCCATACCTTGGCGTCCATATCAGAGTCACATTTGGCCAAATTGGGAAAGTTGGAGCAGGCAAACTGCATATTCTCTTCCACCTAGATTACGTATAGCAACAAAATTACAAATATTAACCATGTAATAAATACAAAACTCGTGATGAATTAATATGGATAAATAACACATACGAGTTCATTCCAGGAGTCGTCCCAATAACTGGCGGTGTCTTCGCTGCAGATGGCCTTAAACTTCTGTCGGAGACAGTCCTGCGAGAGATGAGTGATACAGCAGAGAGAGGCGATGCGATCGCCTTTTGGCACTTCTTTCAGTTTGCTTAACATAACGAGATGTTTGTCGGAGCAGAGGTGGAAGGGCTCCAACTTCTCCTTCGGCGACAAACACTTCATATGAGTGAGGAATTCTGTGCGATCTTTGCCGGCGTTGCACCGCTTGTCCACAAACTTCTCGCCATTTTTGAGCGCTATTTTGATGGCCAACTGAATGTTTCCCTTAAGGCACCGGTCGTTGAAATCTGAAACACATTTGCCGTTCTTTCGGAGCTGACTATTATTTTGGGGGTTTTAGCGTAGAAATTGGCAACAATTATCATTATTTTGAGCTTTACTTTCTAATACACAAATGGTATGCAACGCGAGGGCCGACACGACATCACTCTTAATCAAATGTAATCAATTGAAGACAATTTATGACAAATTGAATATTATCTCCAATTATATACATTTATCAAAGAGTGTGAACATATTGACAGACAATTACACCGACAAACTGTGATCTCATGTAAAAGCATAGGAATAACACATATATTTGGGATGAGAAATAAGACTTACGCGCAAAAGCCGTCCAATTCGGCGTCGTTTGTCGGGGCATTCATATCCCGGTTCCCAAAAATCATTGATTTCATGCCTTTTAATATGATATATGTTATTAAAAAATACTATTTATTATTATGTAATATGACAAATATTTACCGCATTTGTCTGCGGCCTCCATAGAAATGGTACAATCACTCCATACATATGTGATTGAAATACACATCAATACCACTATTTATAACAATAAGAAATTAATTAATCATTAATAAAATCTAATAAAAAGTCTATTTATTTGATAACAATAGTATAGATAACATGACAACATTTACTCACATAACTCTCCGAATACATTAATTTTAATCATTTTTGAAAAAACTATTTATTACTATTGATTATAAGTTTTAATATAAATTATTAATTGTGTTTTGTTTTTGAAAACTTAATGGACATTTGTGTGAAGTGTATGCGATTTTTATATCCATCAATTTTTATGCCTCATTGCCCAGCGATTGATTGTCTCAAAAGTACTGAAGCTTTCAATTGATTTCAATTATTAATTTATTGTCGAGAAAACTATTTAATTGGTTTACGAATAAAAGAAAAGACAATATCTATATATTCTTCAACAGGACTTTCGCATGAAATGCCGATTCAAACGCTTTGCACTTCTTGTGACTTTCAAATCTATAAATGTAAATATAATTGTTGTATAATTTATTTCCATCAAAATCTTAGACAATAAGAAAAAGTTAGATAAAACTTTTGATGCATTTTATATTCAATAATTTGATTATTTCATGTGTTGGGACGTCTCCACCATTGAATAGCATGACATCCAATACTAACCATAGGATACACATTCT